CCCGGTAGATATCTATCATCTCTCATTTATCGACCGCCTTGGCTAATGTTAATTATCGGCAGCTACGCAACAGCCCCAGCCACCGCCCACCAATTACGTGCCGCCGCCGCCTCCGCAGGCCCCAGTTTTGACAAGCAGCTATGCGCCGCCCCCAGGCGCGCCTCCCGAAGGAGTCGACGGCCGGGACCCGCCGCCAGCGTATCCTAGCGCGCGCCCGGACGCACCAAAGCCCGCGAATAGCTATGGGCCTCCGGCAGGACCGCCACCACCTCCCAGTACGCATCTCGTCGGCGCGGTTCATGTTGAATGTGAATCTGAATGTTTTGCAGCCACGCAGCGGCCACAGCTTGCAGGTGCGAGCAGCTATGCGCCGCCGTCTGGCCTCCCTCCGCCGCTAGGCCCGTCACCACATCCTAGTAAGCATCCCGTCGGCATGGTTAATATTGAATGTGACTGAATGTATGTTTTGCAGCCTCGGAGTGGCCACAACCTTTTAGCATGCCCTTTCCTGCCCCTCAGCCCACGAGTGGTAGCTACGCGCCGCCGTCTGGGCCGCCTCCGCCGCCTAGTAAGCCCCGCCGTTGATCAAACGCGTTAGCCAGCGCTAAATGTATTTTATAGCGAACCAATGGTCACAGCCCATCAGTACGCCTCTCCACGCCCCACAGTCCTCGAGTGGTTACGCGCCACCCTCAAGACCACCTCCGCCCCAACAATCGACAAGCAGCTATGCGCCGCCGCTAGCTCCGCCCCCGACGGAATCCCGCTCGGCGTCTGCGTATACCCCGCCGCCGGGCCCGCCCCCACATCCGAGCAAGTCCCTTCTCCTTGCTCTTCCACTGTGGTGTAATGTGTGGTGTTAAAATCTGTGTTTTGTAGCCACCCAACGGCCACCGCCCGTCAGCATGCCTCTGCACGCCCCACAGCCCACGAGTGCGGGCTACGCCCCGCCCTCTGGGCCGCCCCCGCTGCACCGGGCGACCAGCAGCTATGCGCCGCCCCCAGGTGCGCCGCCGGAGGGCGCCGACAGCCGTCCCCCGCCGCCAGCATATCCGAGTAAGTGTGGTCTCGTCTGCTGTGGATAACGTCGAATGTGTTTTGTAGCGACGCAGCGGCCGCAGCCCCAGCACACGAGCAGCTACGCGCCGCCCTCCGGCCCACCGCCGCCGCAGGTCCCAGCGTTGACCGGCAGCTACGCGCCGCCGCTGGTGCCGCCCCCTACAGGATCTCGCGCAGCGTCTCCGTCGGGCTGGAACCCACCACCGGGCCCGCCGCCAGGGCCTCCTCGTACGTCCTATCCTCATTGAGCACCCAGCTGAAGCTGAGACTTTTTCGTAGCAACGGGGCCGGCGACGCTGTCGAGCGGTCCAAGGCCGACGACCAACAGCACCTCCCCGCGACCGCCTACGAACAGCACCTCTCCACGGCCGTCTCCCAACGGTACCGGGCCGCGACCTTCGGCGTTTCCGCCCCCGCGCGCGCCACCGCCCCAGCCTCGACCTCTGAACCCCGAAACCAGCAGCACCCTTGAACCGCCTCATGCGGAACCTCGGGCGCCATCGCCGTCGGCGTGGGCTAGTCGTACGTTTCGTTTCCTCTTTGATTTTTTTTTTCGCGGAGATTAACTCTTGGCGGGTGCGTGCAGGCAACCCGTACGCGGCTGCGCTCGCCGCTGGAGGGAGGCCGTGACGAGTTCATGTGTTGTACGATAACGCGTGAATGTTGCATCCTGTGGATGGATATGTATCGTGTGAGCGAGCAAGCTGGAAGCAGGAGGTTTGTGACGGGGTTGCTTGTTTCCGCAAATAACGCCTATCGTCCCGTCGGTGGCTGAAGCTCGTTCGCCAGCCGACGGACCATCGGATTTTGTGGTCGACAGACTGGAAGGGAGGCGAGATGTGCATACACGATTTGAAGAAGAAAACTAGAGCTCTAGTGATACAGCACCTATTAAATACAAGTTCCGAGTTTGGTCGCTAAATCTCCAACACCAGGACAAGCAGCCCAATCTCAATGCCCGCGACAATCGTCGCGACGCCGACGACGAGCCAGCCGGCGGTAACGAACGGCCGCCCGAACACGCGCGTGTTCTCTTGGCCTTTCGTGCAAATCACCTTTCGCTCCGCAACGCGCGCCGCGGGGGTGGTGTAGTCCTCCGGCTTGCTGTAGTCGGCAAAGTCGTGCCGCGAATGGCGCGCGCGCAGGAAGGCGAGGACGTACATCGCCGCGCCGAGGACGGCGAAGAGCAGGCCGACTGCGTGCCAACGGGGAGAATCAATACAGTGCTGTGGATCAGATTCGCGGGAAGGGATGCTGACTGCGATGGAACCGGGGGTCGAACAGGCGCAGGATCGTGAGGGAGAATCCGAGATTGCTGAGCGCGGTGCGGCTGTATGCGCCGTGGAAGGTTCGCTGGCGGGCTCGCAGCTCGACCAGTTCGGTTAGATCCGCTGCCTGGAAAGACTCTGCACGGTGGCCACTAGACAACTCTTTGAGAAACGGTTGGGTCGGGCAAGGCTAGGGAATTAACCGATAACGATGGGTCATTTTCACTGTGGGTCTGGGAAAGGTGCCACCAGATACGAAATAAACCTGAGAACGGCTCAGAGCCTGGCTCCCAAGTTGAAGCTCGTGGTGAGAAGCAAGGCGAGTCGGCCGAAAACCTCCGATAAGCTCAATCAAAGCCAAACACACTTTTTGGACCTTGCTCTGCGTTCATTTGGTTTGACCAGGCGTTGTTTACTGCTGGTGCGTAGTTCATTTTTCCAGTGTAGGCCTATGCCCACAACCCAGGTTTCTTTTTTGCAGGAGAGTGGCACAAGAACAGCAAGTTGACACGCGTATTGGAATAGACGATCTCAACTTTCTTGGGCAATCCTCTTCTCGGTCTGCGGGAAATCTGTTCGAAAGAGCATGGCCTCCTTGTTCGGCGCACTGCGGACCAGCTCTCTGAGAGCTGCATCCAAGAGGTCTTGACCAGCTGAATCACTATCGCCGAAATTTTGACCGCGTTCTCTGTAGCCCAATACTGGTTCTGCCCATACCACGGCATCGACCACTCTCGACTCTGAACCTCTGCCGCAACCAGGTAAAACTCTGTCAGAATGCCCCGTTAATTGCTGAGAGGATATAGAGACCCCAACTTCATACGCGATGGCGGAATGCCCGTTGGAATTCAACTGTTGTTCCTCCGATTGAACCGTCTTCAGTATTGCCTCCAATACAAACAGGGGAGGGTGGCCTTGGCTCGCTTTCGGAAGGGTTACTTCCAGACGCTGGAGTCCTCGCAGACACCGTCGCCGCCATCCCTCCACTGCAGCACGGCGACCTCCAAGCGCTCGGCCTGTGCCACTGGACCCCCGTCGGCCTCATCCAGTACTCCTACGAGCTCGTGCACGTCTGGACCGGCCTCCCGTGGTTCTACACCTTCATCGTCGCGACCGTCTTCTGGCGCCTGGTCGTCTTCCCCTTCGCCGTCGTCGGCATGCGCAACTCCTCCCGCATGCGCCCCATCTCGGCGCAGCTCAACGCGACGAGCCAGGCCATCCAGGCCGCGCGCCTCGCGGGCGACACCGTCGCGATGCAAAAGGCCGCCCTCGAGGGCGCGCGCCTCCGCTCCTCCGCCGGCGTCTCGATGGGCGGGCTCGTCGCGCCGCTCATCCAGATGCCCATCTCCATCGGCATGTTCTTCGGGATCAAAAAGATGTGCGAGCTGCCCGTGATGCAGCTCACGCAGAGCGGCGTCAACTGGCTGCCCGACCTGACGCAGCCGGGCCCGTACTACATTCTCCCGATCCTCGTCGCGGTGTCGGGGAATGTCATGATGTCGGTGCGTGCCGCGTCGTTCGTGTGGAAGTTTGTTCTGACGAGGAGTAGATGAGCGCCCGGGACATGGACACCTCCCGCCCCGGAATTGGACACCTCATGAACGTCGTGCGCGTAGCCACCATTCTCGCCATCTACTGGATGGACCGTTTCCCCTCCGTCAGTGCCTCCCCTCCTCTTTCTCTCCCCACCTAAATTCCTATTGACTATCATCCGCACCGCAGGGCCTCCTCCTCTGCCTCCTCGTCACAAGCGTCAGCACCGTCATCCAAAGCGCCGTCTTCCGCTCCCCCGCCATGCGCACCGCGCTCAACATCCCGCAATGGACGCCCCCGCCCGCGGGCTCCCCCAAGCTCCCCACCATGCTCGACACCTTCCGCTTCGGCTACACCCAGCTCTTCAAAAGCGCCTCCGCCGAGGCCGCGTCCGCTGCATCGGCGGCATCGGGCTCGGGCTCGGGCTCGGGCGTGCGGCCGTGGGTCCCGCCGCCCGCGCCCACGGCGTCGACCGGGCCCGCGACGGTGTTCAAGACGCTTGCGCCCACACCCCGCGCGTCGGATCTCATGGCGCAGCAGGCGCAGGCGCAGGCCCGCGCGCGCGCGAGCAGCAATAACTCGTCGGCGTCGAGCCTGTTTGAAGACGCGGCGCCCGCGCCCGCGCCGAGGCCACCCAAAAACGCCCCTGCGAAGCCCAAGGCGAAGGCGGCGAAGAAGTCTAAGGGCAGCAGATAGATGTATACAGATACAGTAGAACGTATAATACGGGTTTAACCCGGCTCCCGACTCCTCAGATCGTTTGCTGCGGCCGGCCATTGCGAGATCTTCCTCAAATTGTGTCCGTGTTTCCTTGGTTCACAGCATGGCCGCTTGTGCGGGAAGCTTCCGTCAAGCCCTGGACCTCTGTCGTGGAATAAGTTCTTTGACCATCATGGGTTCCAATTTCAGGCGCCCTAGCTTTTCTGACCTTTTTGTCAAATTGTCCCGAATCGCAGGAACGGCGTACAAGGCTGTCAAATGCTTCCGCTCAACAAGACTAGACCGTGTCAAACATCGATATCGGGTGGCTCTCATGATGGAACAGAACAAACTTGAGAATGTGACGTTGGAAAAAAAAGCGAAGGGCTGACGTGGTTGCGGTGTCAATGGGTAGCGGAAAAAAATCTGTCGGAAAAGACATACGTCCGCCGGGAGTCGAACCCGGAGCTAGGCCATTCTTTCTTGGGAAGACCCAATGTTACCGCTACACCACGAAAGCATTACATCCGCTGCGACTGGCCAGATCTCCATGGGTCTGGAGTCCGGTGACACATATAGATCACTGGATGACTTGGACCGTCCGTCTTAACCACCCTTGCACTTGAACTATTTCCCAGCTTAAAGCTCTGAGCCAATGGTCAATCCTGAGGTAGCGACCTCCTGAAATCTACATCCCGGAAGTATGGGTTTAGAGCTCAAGTCGGTGGGTTGGGGACCGTGGTCATTCCAGCTCTCGCTGTTCAACATCCGAGTCGACGACCTTGGATATCCACTGCACTGAAACTCAAACGCCCGCGAATGGCCAGCTCTCGCAGATGTTCCCTCTTGGTTCCCTCCGCGGAGTTAGTTATCGATGAATGGTCAAGACACCGTGGGTTTAATATTCCGCCTGATGATAAGCGAGCCCGACACTCAGTCCGCTCTTGCTTTGCTCTACCACCTACGAAACCATGGCGTCCACCTTGGTTGAACTTTGTGGTTTGATTTCCTCTTCAGTTGCTACTGTCGACGCTCGCTGCAAGGCGCTGTCTCGATCATACCCCGACCTCGACAATCCAGCTAATACAGCAGAGGACGAAAGCGTGGTGAACGACAGCGAAATCGCTGAAGCGGCCTCCGTGGCGTTGGCTGCGGCATCGCAGCTCATCGCGCACTTGCAATTGCCCGCCCGGACCGTGCTTGAGACGTCTCTTACGGTGCGTATACCGTTTGTTGCGTCCGCTGCCCGCGAACTGATTATCTCGCAGTTTCTCGTCTCGGCCGCGCTGGGTGTTGTGAGTGCATCCGCTACCGCGGAGATCATTAGGGAGGCCGGACCACAGGTTACTCGTTATTTTTGGCTTGCGGACGACGTTAACGAGAGCAGGGTTGCCACATCAACGATATTGGGAAGAAGAACGGGATGGATCCTATGAAAATAGGCAAGTCTGATGCACGGGGATCGAGTGTTGTAAATAATTTTTACTCTCCACAGCGCGGGTTTTGCGTCCACTGGCTACACAGCATATTTTCCGCGAGGTATCCCCCGATGTGTTCGCACACAACCGAATCTCCGTAACTCTTGATACGGGCAAGAGCTCCGAAGCAGTCTTGGCTGCGTGTGTTGGGTATTTCCACATAACTGGACATGAAAGCTGATTCAAATACACAGACCTGAAGACAAACATCAGGGAGCACAGGGGTTCGCAGCAATCGTTGAGCTCAAGTGAGTGTTTGAGTCTTCCCCAAACGGAAAATCTGAGCATTTTTTAGTACGGACGAGACTTTCAAGGCCGGAGCATACATTCAGGACGTGGTTCTCACTCACAATAAGGACGCAGACGAATTCGACACACCCTTGAACCGGGCATTCAACACGCATGTTGGTCTCTTTTCTTGGTTCGAGCGGCCGGAGAACAGGGTTCGGTTCAGACGCTTCGGAATGGCCATGGATGCGGGGCGCAGAGTATCGCCTCCAGGCTCGGCGCTGCACCGTGCGTACAGTTTGGGTTCAATATTTTAGCTCGCTGGTGACGGCAAGTGTGCAGGATTCAACTGGTCCACCCTTCCAGAGCGCACTCTCATCGTGGATGTCGGCGCCGGGATCGGCTCTATCTCCCTTTCAATCGCTAAAGCCAACCCAAATCTCCGGTTCGTGATTCAAGACAGGGCCTCAGTGATCATAGAGGGGAAAGAAGTATTCGCTCACATTATTTCGATGTGCATGTCAGTTGAACTGCCCAATAGTACTGGGACAAAGAATTGCCTGGCGCGTCTGCTTCTGGCAGGGTTTCCTTCCAAGGTGAGGATGCAACAGAAGTCAGGCTCAGCTCCTGATTCCGTTCCAAGAGCATGACTTCTTTAGCCCCCAACCGGTGAAAGATGCCGACATATTCCTCCTTTGCCGTATTTGCCACGACTGGTCCGACTCTTACACTTTAAAGTACGAGGGCCAGATCATCCGTTCACTTGGCCTCACTTATAATCTTCTAGGATCTTGAAACACCTCCGCGATGCCGCGCAACCCACGACAAAGCTCATTATTCAAGACCGTATCATTCCGTTTGTGTGCGGCGAGGACGAAGCGTACAACTACATCCCCGGTGCCATGACAAACACCGATTCTCCGAAGCCGCTCCTGGCGAATATGGGCCGTGTACTGCCGTATTTGATCGACATGCAGGTGCGGAGCAAAAATTGTTTCACAGAAAGTATCGTTCGTTGTTGATTGGAGCGGAAATGGTTCCAGATGATGGCGCTCCTGAGCGGCTGCGAGCGCACGTTGCCTCACTACTGGAGGTTGGCGAGAGAGGCTGGATGGGAGATTGAAGAGGTTTATCGGGCGGGTGCTGATCCAATGAATCAGTTGGTCTTGAAACCAATCTAGAGGCTAGAGGCTAGAGTTTTGTTGTGGTTTTCTGTAGAAAGTCGGTCTGTTCATTTGTTCAAGTTCAATGGATGTATATGAGAGGAACGCTATCGATGAAAATTGTGCTGTCTTCATTTCCGCGTGTCGAGGCTTTCCAAGATACGGCAGGCATGCCCCCTCTTAAAATATTCACATTGTCCGGGTCCTTTCTCAAGTCCGAACTAATACTGATTGGCAGATTCTACAGGTGAAAGAATGAATTAGACGACAATCCAATCAAATGAGTTCGGGCTTCTCGGGGAAGTTCGACTCGGGTCTCCCGCTTCAACAGACCATGGAGATAACATGAATTTGAAATAACAGTGATTAAAATACCGTAATCCTGCCCGTGAACTTCAAGCCCTTTGAAATCTACACAACGAATATTATGATCAGACTTGAATTTTCTCCGCCTCCGCAACCATCCCTGACTTTCGAAACATGTTCCGCGCCTCAAAAGAATAATGCTTCGCCACAGTGTGCTCTCCGCGCTTCTGGGCGATTTCGCCAAGGCGCATGAGACACTCGGCTTTGCCCCGATAAATGTCCATGCGGGTGAACTCCTCCAGTGCGAGTTGGAAAAGCGAACCGGAAGTTTCGTCATCCTTGTCCTCCCGGAAAATATCTCCCAGCAACCGAAGTGCCCAGGCGACGGCGGACACGTTCGCGGTGGTCTTTCCATACGCAAGATACGCCGTCGCCCAATGGCTCGTGGACCGCACATCGTGCCTTAATGTGATATCTCCGAGTTTGTGCATGCACCAAGATAGCAATTCCACAGACTCGCCTCGGAAGGACGAACGCAGGAATTTGTCGTAGAATGTTAAAGCCTCGGATGTTCGCCCTTTCGCAATTAAGAAGTCGGCCATAGCTATGTCACAAATGGGGAGACCGCGCCGATAGCCACAAGATACAAATATTTGGCGGGGAACTTCGAGAGCCGCCGCGACTTCATCCTCGGACTTGAACAGACCAAGGAAAACGTCAATAACCACGATGGACACCCGAGCGTTGCCATGGATTATGCAGAACTTCTCGGGAGACGAGTACTTCACGATGAGTTCGGAGGCCGCCCGTGATTTCAGGTATGCAGTCCTGTGCAAATTGACGCCTGCTTCATAATCGAGCACGTTGACTTCATGCTGCGTTCCCTCAAGGCCCGCAGCGATGACCAGTTGCCGTGTCCGACAACAAATGTCAGCCGCTCGGGAGAAGTTGCCGAGGTGGAGCCAGGCTATAGCTTCTTCCTCCAAGGCTTCAATTTCGCGGAAGAAACTTCCGACTTGAGTGGCGTACCACTGAGCTCGGCGGGCGAGTTCCAGTGCTTGTGAGAATTTACCCTTTAGCCGACTACATCGTGCCATTTCTGCGAGGGCGCGAGTCCGACGGAGATTATCGCCTGCCGCGTCCGCTAAGGAGTATGCCATATCGGCATGGGCCGAGCCTCTATTCACATCCCCTAGCCGGACGTAGTACATCGCGACCACATGGTGGAGGCGAGCTGCATTGACGAGGGATCAATATCTATATACTGACGGTATGTCGATGCAACTCACATTCGCCTGATAGATCGTTGGCAAGGCGGAAAAAATTGCAACCCTGCGCTATCAGGTCTAAGGCCTCCGAGGGGGGAATTGCTCGAATCTGGTCAAAAAGATGCCAGATGTAGTATCCGCGCAGTCCGTTGTCACCCATGGGGTCAAGATACGCAGAAATATCTGCCATGAGTGGTACAGAATAGCCGTGCGTGCGGCTAGTGAAGATATCGAGATGGAAAATGTTATGCACAACCTCATTAAGGTCAGACGCTGCGACGGTCAACGCGTACTTGAGGAGACTGTTGAAATTCCCGGCGTTTCCCGCCAATCGCTGGACAAGGTCTCCAGAGGGCATCTCGTATTTTCTCCAAAGTTCGAGAAGGCGGGCCCAATGCAAGCGGAGAGCGCGAACCAAGGTGTACGACGCAGGATGTAATTTCCTGATAAGCTCTCGCACGGGTGCGAGGACTTTAAGTCGCCCAGCATCGCTGTACGCCAGCGATGTTCGCAACAATGTGGTTTTGAACTGAGGGAGTTCGGAAAGTGGACGGGAACCGCTGAGGATGTCGGCATCCGAGATGCCGTCCGGAAGTAAAGCGAGGAGGCTCAGAAACTGGAGGGCGCCAGGACAGGATGTCATCCGGGGACTAGATAGCGACAGTCGAAGTGACATCTCGAGGTTGCTCCCTTTATCAAAGCCATCGGACAGAAGCGAAACGCTTTCAGTCCTCCATCGAGTCAAAACAGACCCGCAACCGTCCAGAGCGGCCACACTGGCCACGAGTGTTACTGCGAGGGGTAAATTTTCTGTCAGGATCAGAAGCTCGGATATATCCTGAGCGTCTTCAGCGGCGTCAGCGTCGGCGATGTCCATAAAGGTTTGATAAGCCGCATCTGAACTCAGAGGGTTTAATGCAGGTATGAATGGGCGAGTCCAACGAATCTTCGAAGGCCGCTCCTGCCCTCTCATAGTTATCTGAGAATAGTTAGCGGAAAGCCAAACTGGATTGACTTAAACTCACCAAAAGTGCAACATGAGAGAGATCGCCTAGACGAGCAAGAAATTCTTCAACC